CAACTTACCTTCTGCACAACAAGAACACAAACAACCTTGAATGAATCTACTATAGACGTAATGTAGTTTCTATCCAACTTACCTTCTGCACAAGAAGAACACAAACAACCTTGAATGAATCTACTATAGACGTAATGTAGTTTCTATCCAACTTACCTTCTGCACGACAAGAACATATAACACTTGTTAGCGCACAGAGAATTGATGTTGTTACTATGGTATACGGCGTTTCGAAAACACCCATCAGTGAACGTAGATGAGTGAAGCACTTATGATGGAAGAGTGACCTAAAACGAAAAAAAAAGAGTTATGTGACTGGCTATAATAGTGCACGTGCAAATGTTATCATTCTTTTATATTATGTCAACGGAATACTGAATATGATGTAATTGATTATATTAGTTTTAAGAAATAAATCAATATTTAACAGAATTTTTGATACTTCAATAGACAAGATAGTCTTATAGGCTTGTGTAATTACTCTAACAGGGTGCTTTGGATTCAAGACATGATTGAAGGTTATTTTCTGCATTCTTTCTGCCCATATTTAGGATACACATTGAGAGATTCGTAGTTGGTCCCCGAGTTCAATCATTAAATATCCTGAGGGAGAAAGAAGAAAACACATAGCTGTTCTTTTTTCTTAGAAAATGACTTGTTTTTTTTTCCTCACGCGACACGAGTCACCTAGTATGATAAATCAAAGATTATGGAAGTCTTCAGTGTTAGCGAAGATCTTTTGTCAATTTCAGCTCGTAGTTAGTTCGGTGTATGTTCAGATAAGTAATGCTTTTACTAAATCTGATCTATAATCCCAAATCTTTCACACACCAATGGAGTTCGTGTTTAATATTTGTTTAGACGGTTACATTACCTTGATTTTATCCAGTGTGTTTGGTTTAGACGGTTACTTTACCTGATTTTATCTAGTGTGTCTGGTTTAGACGGTTACTTTACCTGATTTTATCTAGTGTGTCTGGTTTGGACGGTTACATTACCTGATTTTATCTAGTGTGTCTGGTTTGGGCGGTTACATTACCTGATTTTATCTAGTGTGTCTGGTTTAGACGGTTACGTTACCTGATTTTATCTAGTGTATCTTGTTTAGACGGTTACATTACCTGATTTTATCCAGTGTGTTTGGTTTAGACGGTTACTTTACCTGATTTTATCTAGTGTGTCTGGATTGGACGGTTACATTACCTGATTTTATCTAGTGTGTCTGGTTTGGGCGGTTACATTACCTGATTTTATCTAGTGTTTCTGGTTTAGACGGTTACATTACCTGATTTTATCTAGTGTGTCTGGTTTGGACGGTTACTTTACCTGACTTTATCTAGTGTGTCTAGTTTGGACGGTTACTTTACCTGATTTTATCTAGTGTGTCTGGTTT